ACAGTGCTGGTATTGCTGACAGTGTTGTACTGTACGACACAGCAGGACTGATGTTGCTGACAGTGTTTTACTGTACGACACAGCAGGACTGGAGTTTCTGTACAGTATTGTACAATACAACAGTGCTGGTATTGCTGACAGTGTTGTACTGTACGACAAAGCAGGACTGATGTTGCTGACAGTGTTGTTCTGTACGACACATCAGTACTGGTGTTGCGACAGTGTTGTACTTTGCGACACAACAGGACTGATGTTGCTGACAGTGTCGTTCTCTGCGACACAGCAGTACTGATGTTGCTGACAGTGTTGTTCTGTGCGACACAGCAGGACTGGAGTTTCTGTATAGCACTGTACAATACAACAGTACTGATGTTGCTGACAGTGTTGTACTGTACGACACAGCAGGACTGGAGTTTATGTACAGTATTGTACAATACAATAGTATTGGTATTGCTGACAGTGTTGTACTGTACGACACAGCAGGACTGATGTTGCTGACAGTGTTGTACTGTACGACACAGCAGTACTGGTATTGCTGACAGTGTTGTACTGTACGACACAGCAGGACTGATGTTGCTGACAGTGTTGTACTGTACGACACAGCAGTACTGATGTTGCTGACAGTGTTGTACTGTGCGACACAGGAGTACTGGTGTTGCTGACAGTGTTGTACTGCAAGACACAGCGGTACTGCTGTTTCTGTATAGTACGGTACAATACAACAGTACTGGGCCCACTTGCACAAAACGATCTTAGCACTAAGACTATTGTAAGCCTATGTTTAAGTATGGGAGTTAAGATCATCTTAGCGCTAAGATCGCTTTGTGCAAGTGGGTCCAGGTGTTGCTGGCATTGTTGTACTGTACGACACAGCAGTACTGGTGTTGCTGGCATTGTTGTACTGTACGACACAGCAGTACTGGTGTTGCTGGCATTGTTGTACTGTACGACACAGCAGTACTGGTGTTTCTGTATAGTACTGTACAATACAACAGGACTGGTGTTGCTGACAGTGTTGTACTGTACGACACAGCAGTACTGGTGTTTCTGTATAGTCCTGTACAATACAACAGGACTGGTATTGCTGACAGTGTTGTACTGTACGACACAGTGGTACTGGTGTTTGTGTATAATACTGTACAATACAACAGGACTGGTGTTGCTGACAGTGTTGTACTGTACGACACAGCAGTACTGGTGTTTCTGACAGTGTTGTACTGTACGACACAACAGTGCTGATGTTGCTGACAGTGTTCTACTGTACGACACAACAGTACTGGTGTTGCTGACAGTGCTGTACTGTGCGACACAGCAGTACTGGTGTTGCAGACAGTGTTGTACTGTACGACACAACAGTACTGATGCTGTTGACAGTGTTGTACTATACGACACAACAGTACTGATGCTGTTGACAGTGTTGTACTATACGACACAACAGTACTGATGTTGCTGACAGTGTTGTACTGCACGACACAGCGGTACTGGTGTTTCTGTATAGTACTGTATAATACAACAGTACTGGTGTTGCTGACAGTGTTGTACTGTGCGACTCAGCAATACTGGAATTTCTGATATATAAATGTACAACACAGCAGCACCGGGGCTCTGTTATAGTTATAGCACAGTACAACACTGGGCCAAGGGATGTGTGAGGTTTGGTGAAGTACTGGACAATACAGCAGTACTGGTGTTGTTGTCATCGTACTGGACAATACAGCAGTACTGGTGTTGCTTAAACAGCTCTTCTACTGGTGAGCGCTTACAGATCAGTTACCTTGCCACAAAGCGTCATCGTGTATGAGTTTACAATGCATTGTCAGTACCTTGATAATTTTAGTGATACAATTTATCTACGGTGAATATATTCTAAAAAATCTAGTTTCCTTAGCTTCTAGTAGATTGTCATAAATAAAGTTAAATTTCTTTCCTCATTCCTGCAGCTTTGTATTTATAAGTACAGCATTCATTCTCCGCTGACTACTTTGAGCTCAGTGCAGGTTTATGCACAATTTACACAGTTTCTTTTGAGATATTCTTATATTCAAGGTGCACACGTGTTGACAGTTAACCTGTTAATACGCTGTTACAGTTATGACAACGTCAGTCCCCACATTTTGAGACCGGTGGTACATTAACTTTACACAAAGCATCTACATTACATATCGGTACACAACAGTACTAAGCGTTATGTGATGCTACGTCACTACTTTATATTAATATGTTTGTCTGTTTGTTGTTTTACGCCGCTCTCATCAATATTCCAGCTATATGACGGCGGTATGTACATAATTGAGACGGGACCAGACAGTTCAGTGACTGATATCATGAGCATCGATCCACGCAAATGGGATACGAAGACATGCGTCATCCAAGTCGGCGAGGCTAACCCACCCGATCCCGTTAGTCGCCTCTTATGACAAGCATAGACGCCTCTTACGACAAGCAACAGACCTATTCTAACCCAGGTCTTCACCAGTATGTTTCTGATGTAGTAGAGTGTTGCTGACACAGTAATAGTACTTGTGTTGCCATATATAGGGCTGTACAACACAACCGTGCTCATGTTGCAATATATAGGGCTGCACAACACAACAGTACTGATGTAGCCATATATAGGGCTGCACAACACAACAGTACCGATGTTGCCATATATAGGGCTGTTCAACACAACAGTACTGATGTTGCCATATATAGGGCTGTACAACACAACAGTACTGATGTTGCCATATATAGGGCTGCCCAACACAACAGTACTGATGTTGCCATATATAGGGCTGTACAACACAACACTGCTCATGTTGCAATATAAGGGGCTGTACAACACAACAGTACCGATGTTGCCATCTTTTGGACCCATGAAGATCCGGGGTAGAATAGGTCTTCAGCAACCCATGCTAGCCCGAAAAGGCGACTGTGCTTGTCATAAGATGCGATTAACGGGATCGGGTGGTCAGGCTCGCTGATTTGGTTGATGCATGTCATCGTATCCCAATTGCGCGGATCGATGCTGATGATTTCAATCACTTGATTGTCTGGCCCAGACTCGATTATTTACAGATAGCAGTCATATAGCTAAACTAGTGCTAAGTGCGGCGTAATCAACATGAAACTGAAAAACTGCCATATTTTGGGCTGTACAATGCAAGTTCCGCAGTTGCTCCTGACTGATGTTACATGTTGGCACAGGAGAAGTTCAGGAAGAACATAGTACGGGCCCTGTAACCCTAATTATACACAGCAACTATGTTCCTGCAACTGCACTAGTCTATGTAAGCCATCAAAGTCCAAATACGCCATGTTTTCATGAAGTAGGATTTAAACTCTAAACAATAGAAACTGGAGTACTGTGTGCAACTGGTTTATTTCCGGCAGTTGATCGCGAGTATTGCCTGAATTGAGTCAAAGGTAGGTTGGTAGGTGGACAGGTAGGTATCCAGGTATGTATGTATACGAGGGAAGGTAGGTTGGCAGGTGGACATATAGGTAGGTAGCCAGGTATGTATGTATACGAGGGAAGGTAGGTTGACAGGTGGACATGTAGGTAGGTAGCCAGGTATGTATGTATACGAGGGAAGGTAGGTTGGCAGGTGGACATGTAGGTAGGTAGCCAGGTATGTATGTATACGAGGGAAGGTAGGTTGACAGGTGGACAGGTAGGTAGCCAGGTATGTATGTATACGAGGGAAGGTAGGTTGGTAGGTGGACATGTAGGTAGGTAGCCAGGTATGTATGTATACGAGGGAAGGTAGGTTGGTAGGTGGACATGTAGGTAGGTAGCCAGGTATGTATGTATACGAGGGAAGGTAGGTTGGCAGGTGGACATATAGGTAGGTAGCCAGGTATGTATGTATACGAGGGAAGGTAGGTTGACAGGTGGACATGTAGGTAGGTAGCCAGGTATGTATGTATACGAGGGAAGGTAGGTTGGCAGGTGGACATGTAGGTAGGTAGCCAGGTATGTATGTATACGAGGGAAGGTAGGTTGACAGGTGGACAGGTAGGTAGCCAGGTATGTATGTATACGAGGGAAGGTAGGTTGGTAGGTGGACATGTAGGTAGGTAGCCAGGTATGTATGTATACGAGGGAAGGTAGGTTGGTAGGTGGACATGTAGGTAGGTAGCCAGGTATGTATGTATACGAGGGAAGGTAGGTTGGCAGGTGGACATGTAGGTAGGTAGCCAGGTATGTATGTATACGAGGGAAGGTAGGTTGGCAGATGGACATGTAGGTAGGTAGCCAGGTATGTATGTATACGAGGGAAGGTAGGTTGACAGGTGGACAGGTAGGTAGCCAGGTATGTATGTATACGAGGGAAGGTAGGTTGGTAGGTGGACATGTAGGTAGGTAGCCAGGTATGTATGTATACGAGGGAAGGTAGGTTGGTAGGTGGACATGTAGGTAGGTAGCCAGGTATGTATGTATACGAGGGAAGGTAGGTTGGCAGGTGGACATGTAGGTAGGTAGCCAGGTATGTATGTATACGAGGGAAGGTAGGTTGGCAGATGGACATGTAGGTAGGTAGCCAGGTATGTATGTATACGAGGGAAGGTAGGTTGGCAGGTGGACATATAGGTAGGTAGCCAGGTATGTATGTATACGAGGGAAGGTAGCTTGGCAGGTGGACATGTAGGTAGGTAGCCGGGTATGTATGTATACGAGGGAAGGTAGGTTGACAGGTGGACATATAGGTAGGTAGCTAGGTAGGTATGTATACGAGGGAAGGTAGGTTGGCAGGTGGACATATAGGTAGGTAGCTAGGTAGGTATGTATACGAGGGAAGGTAGGTTGACAGGTGGACATATAGGTAGGTAGCCAGGTATGTATGTATACGAGGGAAGGTAGGTTGACAGGTGGACATATAGGTAGGTAGCCGGGTATGTATGTATACAGCGGTCAGTAGTCAGTAGTCAGCGGAGAATGAATGCTGTTGGTAGGTGGACAGGTAGGTAGGTACGTAGGTGGGTTGCCATGAAGTAGGTAAGTACATTGGTGGACATTATTGTAAGACATGTTTTTAATAAACAACTAGTAACACATTAACCAAGTATATGAATAACAATATAGAAGTGGCACATCTTGGTCCATGTTGAAATACTGCAGAAACATCATCACGTGCCATTTCAAGCACATAGTCCCAAAGTCATGTGTTCCCGTCCTGTGCAATGACTTAAAAGTCCGATGGTCCTGCCATGAGGATTACCTGTGAATGACGCACTCTTCACAGCACAACCACTGTCATGAAACTGTCTTCTAATAGCTTGTGTTGACTTGGGAGATCAATAGACCTGTTACACACAGATAGCCTGGACTAAATCAAGTGTATATAAAGGTTGAGGTCAGATAACACGCGTCCCGGGACACGTGAAGGGAGCCACGTGATCAGTTTTGGGAACGTTGCACAAGATGTCACATGAGGAGATGAGGGGAGGGGCTTCTCATTCACAGAGCATAATGTCGGTACTACTTCAGTATCGAGTTCCTTGTAGTGTACTGATTATGAGTAAGTGAGAAACTTCCTCCTAAATTGAAAATAACTGTAGTATCAGAGCAATCCAATGGCTGTCCCTACCACCTCACACAACTGTGTCCAGCGTCACATCACAGATGCACACAACTGTGTCCAGCGTCACATCACAGATGCACACAACTGTGTCCAGCGTCACATCACAGATGCACACAACTGTGTCCAGCGTCCCATCACAGATGCACACAACTGTGTCCAGCGTCACATCACAGATGCACACAACTGTGTCCAGCGTCACATCACAGATGCACACAACTGTGTCCAGCGTCACATCACAGATGCACACAACTGTGTCCAGCGTCCCATCACAGATGCACACAACTGTGTCCAGCGTCACATCACAGATGCACACAACTGTATCCAGCGTCACATTACAGATGCACACAACTGTGTCCAGCGTCACATCACAGATGCACACAACTGTGTCCAGCGTCACATCACAGATGCACAGAGGCCCAGGTCACTGAAACAGACGCATGAGGACAGAGCATGTGAGACATGGAAGCAAGCAAATGTTCTTTTTAACAGTACGTTTAAAATGTTCCAAACAAATGTATTGATGTGTGTGAATTAAATGCTCTCATTCAAAAGATGACAATAACTGTATTACTTTGATTATGACGGTGAATGTAACGGTTATGTGTGATACTTACAAAGTTCAGTTCAGCTCTTGTTCGGGCCCGTACACTAAAACATAGTAAACATTGGTCAAGATTAGGACATCCTCAGTGGATAGGGGGGGGGGGAGAGAGGGGGTACACATATGTTAAGTGAGAGGTTATGTCCAGAGAGATGGGGCAGATCTACAGATAAGGGTGATTGGGTTTTTGTTGTTTAACGCCGCACATCGTAATATAGTATCCCATGTGTATGGCGGCTGTCTGACAATAAAAGGAGTCTAGAATAGAAAACAAGAGAGAATGAGATCGAGAGAATTTTAGAACAAATGAGACCACGATTTTACTTTATTATTTCCAAATTGAAATATTTGGGATGTCTATTTTGATATGCATGTACCCTGTGCCAGGACGTGGAGTCCTCTCAAAGATGGTCGCTACATTGGCGCTCAATGTGGGGCTGGGTACCTTCGTATAGAATTTCAGCAAAATATGTCTCAGTACCATAACATGCGCTCGGACCGTGCCTTTTGTTGATGTAGGAATATGTAGCAGGGCGTGGGGTCAACCCACAGACGAGATTCTTACCTTGTACCTTGCTGACGGTATAACAGTCTCATTGGTCATGTGTCCAAGGCGTCCGGCCTCCAATAAGAAGCTAGGTGGTTCGAATACCACGGGACTCCTAACGTTTGTATTGTTAATGCTGACTCCAAGGAGTCTATATAATGCTACTCACGTGAGGTATAAGCTTGATAATTTCTTCCACACTCTTCAGCTGGCACGTGTTTAGATCTGTGGGAAGTCGGAGGTCTTTAATAGCCGAAGTTTCCCTTCCGCAGACGCTCTCCAGGGTTGCACACGCCAGGCGCACCGAGCGTATGGGCTCCTCGCGGTGCAGGAAGGGCGACACGGATGGGTTCATGAGAATGAACGCTACAATACTGAGCACAATGAATAGGGTCAAAACAACATAGGCAATCTTCAACTTGAATAAACTTCTACCAAGAGTTTTCACCTCCTTTATGTCCGCTGCAGTAACCGGGGCGTACATCTCGTAGTAACCGTAGTAGTCCGAGTACTCACTGTTGGCTACAGACTGGTGAGTGTACAGTCGGGCCCGGTGACCGTACTGTAGCATGTTCCCGCCACCACGAGTGGGCATAGCGAAGGTGTGGTCTTGTGGTCTGGCACCGAACCCCCCTTGGTCTGCAACATCTCTCATGGCCATGGCGTCGTCGGTGAATGTGTCTGCGAGGCAAAAGCCAGGTCCGGACATGAGTGTGTGGAGAGTAGTGACCAGGAAACAGCCGACTGTCACTGTCAGTCAGTCAGTATTTTGACTAGATTCCGAGCGTTCAGCATCCAGAGTACCCGCCGCAGGTCAGCCAGTGCCGTGTGTCGCCTGTGTGTGTTGCTCAGCGCAGTGACAGTTGCAGCTACCAAGTAACGCATACACTGGTATTTCCACAAAATACACCGAGTCACAATAGTAATAATTTCCGCGTATGACGAATGCATGTGGAAGGCGTCTGATCCTGATCGGGATGATGTAAACGCTATATGTACATGGCAGCGTTCACAGTTCACTACTTCTTACTATGTACGTCACTTGGGTACTCTGTTCACTGAAAACTACCGTAACTTAATGAGCGGGAGTCAGATTGAGTGAGTGAGTGAGTGAGTGAGTGAGTGAGTGAGTGAGTGAGTGAGTGAGTGGGTTGGTGGTTGGGTGAGTGTGTGGGTTGGTGGTTGGGTGAGTGAGTGAGTGAGGGAGGGAGGATTGTTTCAGTCCAGCCAGTTTGTATCTATGTCTCGGCAATACAGTTCACAGACAGCTGAAAGAACTCGGGGCTCCACGCTTGTCACAGTCAAAGGGACATAACCGCTTCCTGCTCGAGCAGCGATTTTACGGTTCTACTTCACTAAATCAGAAGCTGTTATTTCGTAGATTTTGATTTTTTTCATTGTAATTTTTTATTTATTAATGGATAATTTACCAAATGTGGAGTTATTAGAGTGTTTCACTATGTAAACAATACAGGGAAGTAAGGTGGAGCAATATATGCCACAACCGCATCCCATGACTGTCGAACACTCTGCAAAGACCTAACTGATGTCAGCACAGGAAGGTGAACAACAGCCCACTGACAAATGTGAAATATACTCTGCGAAAAAGGAAACGCAAAAGTGATTTCAGATGTATATTTCATATATAATATAAATAATCAATTGAGGGTAATCGATTGTTCAAAATTGGCACACATCATTGTGATTGACTCAGGTTCCATATGTCAAACATGGAATATCTTGTATGGCCACCATTAGGGTCCAAAACTTTCTGGCATCGCCGTCCAATGGAAGCAGTCACATCCCGAATTTAGGCCTGGGGAATGTTCACCCACTCTAACTGTTTTGCTTGCGCCAACTATTGGAGGGTCTGTGGTTGTTGCTGCGGTGCTGGAGATCAAGTGGACCCCATAAATGTTCGATGGGGTTTAAATCTGGAAATCTTGAGGTCCATGGCAGGACCTGGATGTTGTGATTCCTGAAAAAGGCTGTTGTCAGTCTTGCCGTGTGAGTCCGGGCGTTGTTTTGTTTGAAAATGACGTTCGCTTGGTGCATAATGGAAAGGACATGTAGCCGACGAATCTCGTCTGTGTCACGTTGTGCCGTTAAATGCCACAGAAGTTGCACCAAGTCTGTTCTACCAGTGGCTGCCCACATAACACTACCACCACCAAATCATTCCACTTCCTGCATGGAGTTTCGTGCGTGACGTTCCCCGCGACGCCTGTTAACACAACGTCTACCATCCGCACGGCGAAGTAGAAAACGTGACCTGCCATTAAACCAAACTTGTCGCCATCGCAATAGTTACCAAATTCTGTTACGTTGACACCATTGGCCTCGCAGCCGACGATGCAGGTTCGTCAAAATGACACCTCGAACTGCTCATCTAGGGCGAATACCTTTAAGGGCGTAAACGGTTCCTTGCTGTCTGGGCTGATATCTTACGCAATTCTGGTATTGCCGTAGTTGTAGAGGTGGCTGTGGTGGTTCTTTCACGTAAGTGACGCCGCCGTATGAATTTGACCTGAGCACTGATCACGTGGCTCCCATCAGGGGTCCTGGGACGCGTGTTATCTGACTTCAACCTCTACATACACTTGATTTAGTCCAGGCTATGTGTGTGTAACACGTCTATTGATCACCCAAGTCAACACAAGCTATTAGAAGACAGTTTCATGACAGTGGTTGTGCTGTGAAGAGTGCGTCATTCACAGGTAATCCTCATGGCAGGACCATCGGACTTTTAAGTCGTTGCACAGGACGGGAACACATGACTTTGGGACTATGTGCTTGAAATGGCACGTGATGATGTTTCTGCAGTATTTCAACATGGAAAAAGATATCCCACTTCCATATTGTTATTCATATATTTGGTTGATGTGTTACTAGTTGTTTAGTAAAAACATGTCTTACAATAATGTCCACCATTGTACCTACCTACTTACATGGCAACCCACCTACGTACCTACCTACCTGTCTACCTGTCAACCTACCTTCCCTCGTATACATACATACCTGGCTACCTACCTGTCCACCTGCCAACCTACCTTACCTCGTATACATACCTACCTGGCTACCTACCTACCTGTCCACCTACCAACCTACCTTCCCTCGTATACATACATACCTGGCTACCTACCTACATGTCCATCTGCCAACCTACCTTCCCTCGTATACATACATACCTGGCTACCTACCTACATGTCCATCTGCCAACCTACCTTCCCTCGTATACATACATACCTGGCTACCTACCTACATGTCCACCTGCCAACCTACCTTCCCTCGTATAAATACCTACCAGGCTACCTACCTACATGTCCATCTGCCAACCTACCTTCCCTCGTATACATACATACCTGGCTACCTACCTACATGTCCACCTGTCAACCTACCTTCCCTCGTATACATACATACCTGGCTACCTACCTACATGTCCACCTGCCAACCTACCTTCCCTCGTATACATACATACCTGGATACCTACCTACATGTCCACCTGCCAACCTACCTTCCCTCGTATAAATACCTACTAGGCTACCTACCTACATGTCCACCTGCAAACCTACCTTCCCTCGTATACATACATACCTGGCTACCTACCTATATGTCCATCTGCCAACCTACCTTCCCTCGTATACATACCTACCTGGCTACCTATCTACATGTCCATCTGCCAACCTACCTTCCCTCGTATACATACATACCTGGCTACCTACCTATATGTCCATCTGCCAACCTACCTTCCCTCGTATACATACATACCTGGCTACCTACCTATATGTCCACCTGCAAACCTACCTTCCCTCGTATACATACATACCTGGCTACCTACCTATATGTCCACCTGCCAACCTACCTTCCCTCGTATACATACATACCTGGCTACCTACCTACATGTCCACCTGCCAACCTACCTTCCCTCGTATACATACATACCTGGCTACCTACATATATGTCAACCTGGCAACCTACCTTCCCTCGTATACATACCTACCTGGCTACCTAAATATATGTCAACCTGGCAACCTACCTTCCCTCGTATACATACATACCTGGCTACCTACATATATGTCCACCTGCAAACCTACCTTCCCTCGTATACATACATACCTGGCTACCTACCTACATGTCCACCTGCAAACCTATCTTCCCTCGTATACATACCTACCTGGCTACCTATCTACATGTCCACCTGGCAACCTACCTTCCCTCGTATACATACATACCTGGCTACCTACCTACATGTCAACCTGGCAACCTACCTTCCCTCGTATACATACATACCTGGCTACCTACATGTCCACCTGCCAACCTACCTTCCCTCGTATACATACATACCTGGCTACCTACCTACATGTCCACCTACCAACCTACCTTCCCTCGTATACATACCTACCTGGCTACCTACCTACATGTCCATCTGCCAACCTACCTTCCCTCGTATACATACATACCTGGCTACCTACCTACATGTCCACCTGCCAACCTATCTTCCCTCGTATACATACATACCTGGCTACCTACCTACATGTCCACCTGCCAACCTACCTTCCCTCGTATACATACATACCTGGCTACCTACCTACATGTCCACCTGCCAACCTACCTTCCCTCGTATACATACATACCTGGCTACCTACCTACATGTCCATCTGCCAACCTACCTTCCCTCGTATACATACCTACCTGGTTACCTACCTACATGTCCACCTGCCAACCTACGTACTATGCTTTTCGTAGGAGGCGGCTTACAGGATCGGATGGTCAGGCTCGCTGACTTGGTTGATGCATGTCAGCGTATCCCAATTGTGTGGATTGATGCTCATGATGTCAATCACTTGATTGTCTTGTTCAAACTCGATTATATAACGACCGTCGTCATATAGCGTGAATATTGCTGAGTGCTGCGTTAAAACAACAAACAAACAAGCAAAAACCTACGTACTTATATGCATACCTACATACACACGCGCACATGCACACGCACGCGCACACGCACGCGCACCACCTACACATACACGTATACGTGTTTGTTTCTTTCACTATTGGGACACTATGTTCAACTCTATGTGTTAAACAAGCATATATGTCCCTTGAATTTTTGGGGGGTACATCAAGTGTGTCTTTGACCTATATAAGCAACATTCAACACCCAACCAAATCCACTCACCTCCCACCCTGACCCATTACAACTTCTTGCAAACGCACATTCACCCATTCACTTACTCATTAACTCATTCACTCACATGCTGAATGACAACAATTGCATGCACCTATCGACGATGTACAACACATACAACGGTGACTAATTGATATGTCTGTGGACTGTGCACGATGATTGTGCTTACTGACAAGGGTAGGGGGGAGGCGGGGGGGGGGATACAGTTGACCGAATTCAGGCAATACTCGCGATCAACTGCCGGAAATAAACCAGTTGCACACAGTACTCCAGTTTCTATTGTTTAGAGTTTAAATCCTACTTCATGAAAACATGGCGTATTTGGACTTTGATGGCTTACATAGACTAGTGCAGTTGCAGGAACATAGTTGCTGTGTATAATTAGGGTTACAAGGCCCGTACTATGTTCTTCCTGAACTTCTCCTGTGCCAACATGTAACATCAGTCAGGAGCAACTGCAGAACTTGCATTGTACAGCCCAAAATATGGCAGTTTTTCAGTTTCATGTTGATTACGCCGCACTCAGCACTAGTTTAGCTATATGACTGCGGTCTGTAAATAATCGAGTCTGGGCCAGACAATCAAGTGATTGAAATCATCAGCATCGATCCGCGCAATTGGGATACGATGACATGCATCAACCAAGTCAGCGAGCCTGATCACCCCATCCCGTTAGTCGCATCTTATGACAAGCACAGTCGCCTTTTCGGGCTAGCATGGATTTCTGAAGACCTATTCTACCCCGGATCTTTATGGGTCCAAAATATGGCAACATCGGTACTGTTGTGTTGGGCAGCCCTATATATGGCAACATCAGTACTGTTGTGTTGTACAGCCCTATATATG